AATTGTTATTACCAGTACAAAAAGACACCTTTAGCTTTAGTGTTATGTTGTAACATTACCATGAACAGTATCAACTCTTGCTGAAACACAAACATTCATCTATGCTATATTTTATCTTTAAGATAAAGTATACAGGAGACATGTTGTTCATATTAAAGCATTATATTATGTATTTTACTGTTACTTGTGTTAAGTCCCTTTATTAAATTGAATTTTTACACATTTCTCTGTCTAGTGATTAATTTAAATGTGAATGGTCTCCAGAAGAAACAATGACCTAGTTCCTTTTTTATGTGGTTGGTATGCCTTGCCAACTAGTACACATTGTTTTGGGGAATAATCTTCCAAATTGCTTGGAAAAGTCACAAATATTTGACAGTTCATTTTACAATTGTCTGTATGAAGGAAGCAAACACTCCAAGCCGATCACCTTAGCATAGTGGTGAATGATTTGGGCTTACATGTAGGATCGTAAGTTCCTGGGTTTGAATCCCACCATGTGGGAGATTTAGTAATAACCTGGGAGCGACCCATACCCTGGGTGAGTGTGCCACAGACCCAAAGGGAATGACGAGCTGAGATTCATCCACTCATGGATGCAACTATGGGGGAGCCTTTGATAAGGTCCACAGGTGATTGTGTCCAGCTGGACCTAGTTAACACTAGAATAGAGCATTAATTAATGCCGTTATGATGGTAAGATAGTCACACAGCCCTGTCAGGTAGTCCCAAACATGCATATATGATTTCTGTGGCATATGTACTGTATAGTACAACAAGCACCTGCAGCTTGGCACAGGATAAACAGAAAAATACCAGGAGAGACAACAGTGGCAAACAACAGCTGTCGCCTGGACTAAAACATTTAAAAAAATCTATTAAAAAAAGACATTGCACAGTAAGGAATAGCGTTTATAAAAATAAAATATTAGCAGAAAGCTTGTAGGTTGGTACAATATTAAAATTCTGCATCAAAATAACAACTTTGCCAGTGAGTAACAGGTCATTAGCTCTTTCATAAAAAATGGAAAAAACACACCCGAGAGCATCCATTTGTTTTAGTTATTTACATATGGAGAATGCCACACATTTTCATCTCAAAATCATGTGCAAGTCCACTCATTACCCATAGATGTACAACTTTACTGGTTGACTTTTCTTGAATAAGGATAGAATAAAATGACAGGCTTCATTAAAGCACATTCTAAGGGTAATGATTTTCACATTTCATCATTTGACAAAACAGGTTACTTTCCACATTGGTTTTGGTGGCTACAAAATTTTGAAGAGCTAACACAAGTGATACACCATTCATTCTAACTCTAGACGGGACACCATATGATCTTGTCGCATCTTCAAAAGATTCTAAAACAGTTGCAGTCCTGTTGTTGTCACTACAGGTCAAATATTCAACCATACGCGAAAAGCCATCTACACCACTGTTGAATACCAATTTCCACCTGCAATTACATTTCATTTAATACCATGAGCACAGCTATGTTACATAGAATATGTATTGGCGCTACGGAAAATATATCCCGCAGTGTCTAATCATGGTATATATACATGTGGATCTAACTAAATCTATATAGACGATATATCTCAAGTCTGGTTTTTTATCGAAGTCTGGCCTTAAAGCTCTCAATATATGCGACGGATATCTATATTCGTTCATATAGATTCCCCTTCCGAACTATTAGTATGCTCATATCCTAATGGCGACAAGAAAATGTTTTGGTAATAATGTTATTTTATTATTTTATTTTTATAATAACGGAAACGTTTTTAAATGTTTTAATGGGACCCGTGTCTCAATGTAATATCGTCTAGTTAGATTTATAGAGACAATGATATATACCCGATATCGATTAGTTTCTTGATATATTTTGGCAAATGTATATCGTCTAGCAGGAGAATGTTTTTTTGTTTCTACGTATTTGAGTATATCAAATATATCGTCAATGGAGACGGAATATACAATATATATATATTGGATATATACGATATAACATTTATCGCACCATAATCAAGTTTTATAGCATTGAAATCTATCACCCCAAAACTTAGACATATATTATCAGTTTCAATAATTACTAATCTTTAATTACAACTATTCTCTTATTGTAATCCTAGTGTCTGTATGCAAAATCATAATTCGTGATATACATTCTACATTCACACGTTATAATAATACTTATATTTATAAGGTGCGAGTGTAATGTGTACATCACGAATTACAATTTGCTTGCTGAAGGGAGGGAGTAAACAAGGATGATAAATGAAATAGTTGTTAAATAACGACTGGCGATTGTTGAAACTAAAGACACTAGTGTCTTTGTTGAAACTGATAATAGTCTAGTTTCGGGGGGTGTCGATAGATAAAGAAATAAATAAATAAAACGAGCGAACAAACAAATGTTTAGGTTTTGTTCTGTGAAATACTGAGAATAAATGAACACATGGGAAAAGCAATAATTCTAGAAATATAACAATAGGCCCTCACTCGGCAATGACAGGAGTTCGGTTAGTACAGCATATGTTATTGACTTACTTAATAAACTTGTGATTACCGTCAATGTGCCATAATGCGTTAGGACATAGTACATTGTACGGTCTTCTCCGTACTGTATACAACTGTCTTGCAGCAACACCCTCGGGATCAACACGGCGCTGACTTGATCTGACATTAAGAATTGGAATACGAATCCCACGCTAAGTAATGAGTCCCTGCATTCGTTTCATTCCTGTATTTGGCAACCTAACAATAATTTCTTCAATAATACTATATAATTTTTAATCACTTAATGCGGAATAGTACTCTCACAGAAAGTCCAAACTGTGACATTCTTCTTCATACAGTGCGTTTAGACACACCAAGTAATTTGGATATGGTAGGGATGTTGAAGACTTCCCTCAGCAGAAAATCTAGTTGCTCATGGCTGATAACAAACTTCGGCCTTCCAGGCTCGCCAGAAAATGATTGCATAGACTCGTATTTTAACCCAGTATTTTCAATATTAAAGCGGGGGAGTCGTCACCTGCGCATGCGTCAGATGGCCATAGCGTGTCACTGTGTACAAACACTGTGTACACTGCGTCTACCCATGAGCTTTTGCGTTTTTAGCGTGTGTTGTTATCGTCGCTTGGGACTCGATTCCCGGGCGTGCGCAGATGACGACCCTCCCGCTTTAGATATGTAATCTACAATCTCTTTGGCTTGACCCACTTTAACCAATACCAAATCAGGAAGTTCATGGTCAAGTTGTATAGTAACAAGTTCAGTCTGGAGGGCGTCTAAGTGATCATATGCACTTTCAAAATCACTTGCTTGAGAGCATGATGATATTAACTCACAAACTGCTTGTACCTCATCAATGACTGGCTGTGTAAAGTTGACAGCCATCTTGTTTTAGCAACTCCTGGACATGTGCTTGCAGACACAAAACTAATGAATGCATAACTAATATAATATAAACATAAAGAATAAAATAATATAAACATGAATAAAACAGACATAAGAATGGTATAGTAATATAAAAGCATAAATAATAAAATAATATAAACATGAAATAATGACATAAGAATGATATAATAATATAAACATAAATAATATAATAATATATACATGACCAAAAAACGACATAAGAATGGTATAATAATATAAAAATAATGAAAATGTTAATTTTGGCACTGATCTCACCCCATACTAATCTCACTACATATACATGAACATCAGCGCAGGTTCAATTAGGGCGACTATGTCAGCTGTACCATACACTGACACTAATATTTCAATACTAAATATTTCCATTAAAATCAATCAAAACAAACACTTGACGAGTTCAACGAGATATTATTATTCGTATTGTTTTTAATAATATTACCACTGACACTTTCTTTTTAGTTCTAAACGAAATTTATTGGTGTACAGTTTAGCAGTTTAATCAGATTCACATGCATCAATCTGTTCACATAACAGCTGTATATGATTTATGCAAAATGTAAACTCACTAATCCATCTATTATCTCGTGTTTGGCCACACGTAATCCATTTCCAATTTGACTTTGTTGACAGACTGATACAGGTAATAAGTTCCGTGTCATACTATATTATATTATGTTATATCAAATATCAATTTGTCAGAAAATGTATTGTGGGATTTGAACGGCATAACTCAAATTCATTCAGTTAAATATTCTTTTTAAAACATAGTATTTCCTTGACTACTTCAAATTGGGAGCATTTTTGATCATTTTCAGCAGTTATTGTAATCAAATTTGATATCATCACAATCTGCAATCGACAGGTTAGTAAAAACTTCACCCTTCTAATTCTGAACAAATCGATGAATTATTTGTTTCAAATGTATGCGCGGACTTGCATGTTTATATACCACATTCATTTGATATTAATTATTATGTTAATTAGGTGGTCTCAATAATGTGTTATTTTCCACACTACTCCTATATGATAACGATTATCCATATATTTTTGTCTATATTAATAACCACGTTTTATTATTGGAGACAATTATTACAACATACACAGTGTCCGCTTGCAAGTATGTACGCAATAAAACAGGGATCATATCTGTGACACATTTTTCTGACCATATGTTCATTCTCCAACCTACAGTTCATTACTATATTTTAGGTTTCAATGTGTCCCAAATCCTTCAATATGAAATTCCTTGACTTTTACGTTATATACACTATAATGGTACTATTGTATGTTGATAAAAATGTTCAGCAAACTAGTTTACGTGCCAAATAACCATTAATCTGGCGATCATTGAGTTTATTCTGTTTTTTAATTAGACTCATGTACAAAAATAAGTCCCGATGTTTAACAGGATTTTCTCTTACACAATATTATTTATAGGCATTGACGCATCGGCATGCACAGCCGACAAGTGATACTCGGGTTTCTACTAGGGGTCTGCACTACGTTATTTTAGTACAATTTCTGGCATAGTCACCAAGAAAGTGTTGGACCAATCATGCAGTCCTCAAAAGACGGCAATGCTAATAGACATGAGCGATTGACTCCCATTAAAACACTAAGTACGCAACAAGGTAAGTTTATTATATCATTCCAACAGCAAAAACCAATTAGGTGTCATTCAGTATTCAGTTACCGGCCATGTTCGCAATATGTTACATCCAAATAAATCATCCAACAGACTGAAGGATGATAAACAGCAAGTCTTATACTAGCCACGCGTATCAAAGCTGTGCCACTAGTTCACTTTTCATGTTGCTGTACAAAAAATCAAGGCTACCATTGCTTCGTATCGCAAAAAACGTTTCATATATCAAAATGCTATTTGGAATGTATAAGAACAAAATCGTATGCAGTTTTAAGATGTGTTTAGATTGAGATTAAAAATCCATTATTTTAATACAAATAAATAATTAAAGTAACACGTTTGAAACAGAGAATTATAATGAATGTTGCACTATTTGAAGCGGGAGAGTCGTCCCCTGCGCATGCGTCAGATGGCCATAGCGTTTATTGTTCACGAACAAGCGTCTACCCATGAGCATTTGCGTTTTTAGCGTGTGTTGTTATCGTCGGTTGGGACTCAATTCCCGCGCGTGCGCAGGTGACGACCCCCGCTTTATTGGAGCGAAGGAAGCAAACAAATTTACAACAAATTTCCAAAATTCATATTTTCACAATTCGGTTTTTTTGTTGAAAAACAAACTGTGCATTTAGTTTCAGATGTACGATCTAACCTGCAAGAGGACCATAATGATAAAGTAGGACAACATATGGTGTCTATCAATGAAACGCAGGGCGTAGAAGGTATGTGAACAATTAGTTACATCGTATCATGAATGAAAACAAATGCACGCTACGCTACGCTACGCTACGCTACGCTACGCTACGCTACGCTACTACACAACTGGCTTAACACTCGTCGTCTACAGCGCTCTGTGTGCTTTCTCCCGGTTTTGATGTTTTGCTGCTGTTCTTTTATTAGTGAGAAACTTATTCTTGTTGTTATTAAGATGAATGCCGCTCACACAGGGCGACCGTCAAGACCAACATATCATCTCACTAGAAACCATGCAGTGTAATGTGAAAACATTGATGGCTTTTCGGTTGCAAACTCACGTGGGGACGGATGCGGATTTAGCCAGGGCTAGTACAGCCTCTTGAATAAAACGGCTGGTTATTGTCTTTTACTAAGGTTGATATTGGAGATCTCTGTATTTCTTTCGACCTTATGTACGCCCCTCAACAAAAATTATTTACCAAATTTTGTTTACATAACATATTTCACCTTACCGATGCTTTAGACAAATATGGGCATGTAATGAGCGCGGTGCGAGCGATTCTACCCGGAAGCAAAAAAAAAACATCATTAAAACATGTAAAGTCTTTTCACCGCCATGTACACTTGAAAGATCTAAATATTATTGGCTATTTTCTGTCACTTTTCAGGGTTAGACGTACAATATTTACCTACAGCTTGACAAAATGACTTTGCATGTAACTTGCATATAACCCTAAACAGCATAAATAGATATGCAAATGACGACTGGTTAAACCGGACTTTCGCATTTCTATTTGGTGCTTCACAATTTTACCACATTATCGCTCAAATCACTTTCTCATTTTTGCTTCCTAGCGTGCATGGCAAAGGTTGCAATTCACACCAGTCGTCGTAACAATAGACAAAACATAGGCCCCAGTGATCTTCTGGGAATAGTTATATGAATATTCCCGGATTATGAACCAATTACCTGAATTTGAGATTATGTTGGTAGTAGAGTATGCGCAATGTAAAATCCAAGAAAACACTCTTAACATTCTCTCGTCGGCTACGCAATGCTTTAAACGGAAATGTGCCTTGTCTTTTTTATAAATATCGATACTCACGAACAAAAGTGCATAGTAATTTGCAAGTTTAGCACATACAGAAGCGCCAAGAGTTTTGTCCTCTTGTATTTGATTTTGTTACTTGTCTTGTATTTATTTATTTTTCTTGGAACATGTCTTGTCAAGTCTGGGATACTAACATTTACCATTTTTCTTGTTTGTTATTGTCAATTCAGTGAATCAAACGTCCGCCTGTGCTGTTACCTTTGGTGATTGGCCAGATGGAACAAAGGAGAAAGTCTGGTTAACAAGCTTTCCCAGATCTGGAAACACGTGGACACGTCATCTATTAGAAATTGCAACAGGAATTTATACTGGTTCGTTTTATTCAGAAAACAGTTTATATAAGCAAGGTATGGTATACACTTACTGGTGTTGGGAGTATAATTATAATTTGCCATAGTTTGGTTGCTATGAGCAATAAATATGTGGTTGAAGGCATATTATTGTGAAACAATTATACAATTTGTGACTTGAATTATAAATTTAATTATTTTGTTTTTAGTTTGGAAAAGAGGACACTAAAGAATATCTACAAGCTTCCCAAATTCATTAAATAATCTAGAAAACCAATTCAAAATTTCTGAGATGAAAATCAATCTGGTGATAAAACATCGACAAAAATAATCAAGGATATGAGCAAATGCACTTAAAAAACACATTTTATAATAAGTAAGTTATGAAATAAACAAAAAAAACACACAATAAATACATTCACTGGGATATGTTGTGTTGCTATTGATACACATGTTTCAACATGTCCATTGCATATTGCATTGGTTGCAGGCTTTAAAGGAGAAATTGATCAACCAGGCCAGGGACAAAAGTTGGTTTACAAATGCCACTCTTTCAAAAAGACTTACATGTTTGGGATACTGCTCATCAGAAACTTATATGACTCTATGGTCTCATTGTATGCATATAACTTGACAGGAATGATGGGAAGCCTGAATCTTGAGTTATTCCGTAATAGTAAGTTATTCGCTTTAATGAAACACATATTTGCAATAGCAAATCTTACAATGATAGAGGTAAAATCACGCCAAAAACCACACCTACATTTCTGTCTAAGAATGCGCAGCAAACACAGATTTGTCAGACATTCTACAATCCATGGTCGAGTCATTAAACAAATATATAAAACCAGGATATATTGAGCACCAGTCGGTAGATCCAAGTTCAAATCTTAGGCTGAACACCGAAATGGGTCGTCTGCCTAGCTGGGTGAGTGTGCCACAGACTCAATGGGAAGGCCTATTCTATTAGCAGAGATTTACTCACTAACGAATGCGACTTTGGGGGAACTGTCATGAATTTGTTTATGCGTATCTGTTGACCGACTTAATTAGCTGATTATTAGCGAATTGCTGTGTTATGTCTGTCATCGTTTAGGCAGGCGAGGTCCTGGACGGAACTTGGCTCAGTGATTTGGAACTAATTACGAGATAACCGTAGCTATTCGGACTATTAATTCTGACAATTGTTGTTCGTAGTTATTAATATAGTGAACGATTAATCAAAAGATATGACGTATTCAGTGCTTAGTGTGATTGGCTTTATGATTAAAGGTTACGCCCTAGAGTCTTTATACTGTATTGTAATTGGTTAGAGTTTTGAAAATGAATAAAGAGAGTTTTGAGTTGGTCTTGGCGAGTACTCCACGATAGACCCAGTCTAAGTCCAGTCCTGGAGAGACTTGGGGCGAGCCTTGACGCAGTCTAAGTCCAGTCCTGGAGAGTCTAGGGCGAGTCTTGGGTCAGCCTTGCGATAGTCTTGGGGACTTTTACCCAGGGCGCTGTGTAGAATGCTCAAAAGACCGACTAAGACGAGAGTTGAAACGTATTTTGTTGTGTGTGTCTTATTTGACTGTAAAGCTTAAGTGACTTTCCCGATCCCGTACCTCAAGGGGACGAGATATAGAGACGAGACGAGATTCCCCCTGACACGTGCGGAGAACCCCAGAGGAAGAAGAATTTCCCCCTGATAGAACCGGCGGGTGCGGGTGTTGACGCCAGGATAGCGCATTAAAATTGCCATTTGATAAAGAGATGGCCGCACAGCCCTGTCATGTAGTCCCAAACATGAATATAACTTCTGTGGTAAATGCACGATGTGTCAGCACTGAAATGATACATGCTTACTGAATACTGAAAACTTCATTTATTTCAGGTACAGACTTTTCAGATATGGTCAAGACGATGCACGAACGTTGGCGTAAATTAGTCGTGGACTGGTTCAAATCTGGTCACCCTTTTGTGGTAGTACATCATGAGGATTTGTTGCAGAATCCGATATCGTCCGTGAAAAAGATGATGAATTATCTAAACATTACACTAACCCCAGAACGACTTGAATGCTTGCGAAATGACATCGAAGGACTGTTCCATCGCCAACATTCAGAGAAATTTCATTTTGATCCTTTCACTCAAGAATTGCACGAGATTATTGACGAAGATATCCGAGTTGTGAATGAGCTACTGATGAGTAGGAATGAAACTCCTATACCTAAGCCAGCGTATAACACTGAGTTGTAGTTAAATGCAAGACTGGAGAGATTATACCGATAGATTACAATTGACAAAAACACGTTCCTTTCGTTTCGTCCAATTGATGACGGACATTATTATTTAATTGTGAACTGTTGTTCGTATTTGGTAGTTACAAAAAAATTGTTTTATCTCAGGGAACCAAGTTCTCATGCATAATTTCAATTCCAAAACTTGAAATATTGTGTAATGTCAGCATTTCAAAAAAATCCAGGAAAGGTTGATGTTTCGAGAAATTCAACGTTTGGGGATAATTATCCACCGACAAATATGTTTTACATAGAGAGCACAGTCAGCTGGCGCACACGTGACAATAAAATAAATACGATATTTACTATATAGGGGCCGCCATCTTGAATGCAACATAAAACTAAATGAGAGACAAGTTGTGAGACGCGTTTTTCAGATTCCTACAAATCTGGACAAAAATACCAATCTTTCACGAAAATGCGACCGAATTTGGCGTTTTTGTGTAGAAAAATTCCTTGCATACGAATACCTAATTACCCGAAGAACATAGAACACTTTCCTGGGATATTTAAAACCGAAATTGTCATCTGAATGTACGGCCGTCGCTGATTGGCTGCTGAGCTGGAATGGCATTTTTTGCCATGAAAATCAATCTGGTGACAAAACATTGGGCAAATGCACTTACAAACATATTTTATTATGAGTAAATTATGAAATAAACACAATAAATACATTCAGTGGGATATAATGTGATGGCGGCCCCCATATAGTAAATATCGTATTTATTTTATTATCACGTGTGCGCCAGCTGACTGGGATAAGAGAGGTCTTAAATCCATTGCCAAATTATCCTCGCCCGCCTTTTATAACCTATAGTGCACCGCGGTTTACCTAAGAAATGTATACATGGATCGAGAAGAGATTTTCTTACAAGAATGGAACAAGCAAATAAGTATCATCGATGGAATCAATTAACTTAATAATGAAGATAAATAATTAAAAAAAAAATAAAATAATAAATAAGCAATAAAGGTGTGATAGAGTTTTGATTCAAGTGTTTCGGTCATTTTTTGTTTTAAAAAGTAGGTATTTCGGATAACTGTTTTGAAAACTTGGATAAACTACTTCACATATGATGGGCGACAAGTAGGTAGATAAAATATCAATACCGGAGATTATTTGTTTAATACCTGGCGAGTTCGGTAAGGGGTTAGAATGCCAACATTAGTTGAAAATTGTTGGTGAGGTTCACTAAACATTTGTTTGGAAGCAAAGCGGGGCGTATTGTGCGGTAACCATCTGGGGATATAATCGCCTGATAATTTTCTATTTACAATATAAACATCTACATCCACGCCGCAGGACAAATATTGCTTATTGAGTCGATGAATTTATATCGTGAAAGCTGATAATAAACAGCATTGAGTTGTCATCCCGGCAAACAAAATGCGGCATGTTTTTTGCGAAAGTGTAATTTTGAATTTCTCGGCACCATATATGGATGCATGAGTGACCTGACAGTTGACCCCGTGTCATAATTTTATGTCTACGGCATTATCACTCACAATTGCGTATATTGCGTAATCGAATATAAATAATTTTAATGATGTACTACATAGTCTTGCAATATCCCTGTTACGACAAATAAGTTGTCGTGTCACTGTAACTGTGCCCTGCGCATGAAGTCAGTTTCTCGCTCAACCTACAGATTATATATTTCGAATGTACCCCGTGTGCATTCCGAGAGGCCTACAATTATTGTTTATTTTTAAAAACTAAAATTAAGAAAAAACTTTAAATATGAAATAATATGAAAAGTGGTGGCTAAGTTGAAATAACACGCGATTTTTTGCGAAGTCACTTCGACTCCAACTATCGCGTTCTAAATAAAAACACGAAATAAAAAAAATACTGTATGCAAGTATATGACAAGTTAACTGTCACTTTTTAGTGCAAGCAACTGAGTTTGTTTTCCGGATTGCCCAGCATACACGACAACGCATGCTCCAGGTTATACAATGTACACACTGCGTTATCGAATATTACATCATAAGGAAATTGCACTAGTTCCACCATGACTAACGGCAATTATGCTACAAACGTCAGCATCGATAGGAAAATGCTAAGAGTATAGCAAATCAGTCTGTCTGCAGGAATCTCATATTAACCCAGTATAATTCATTCCAAACAACCCATGGCGATGGGTGCATTATCGCCATTTTTTCGTTTTCGTGCCATTTCCACAGCTTAAAACCATTCATTTCAAATGCTGTTGTCAATGCTCGGTAAACCAGTAAAGTATCCAGTAAATTTTCAGACATATGTAGTTTTTCAAGATGAAGCTCGAACGCCACAAGTTTGATATCCCGGAGAACACCACTTTTAATTAACTGATGAAATACGTGATACTCTCCGCCCTCTATGTCAAATTTCAGCACATCAATTTTTGACTATTTGATTAG